GGGCGTTGCTCCCCGCCGCCGCAAGGGGGCGCTGTGTCTCCCGCGCGGGCCGCGAGGTGGGGCCGGGCTTTGCCCCGCGCCCTCGGCGAACGGGTCCGCTGCGGCCACCGGCGACGTTTGTCCGCCGGTATCGCCGGAGGGAACAAACCAGCGCCGCGCTCACCGTTGTAGGAGTTGCTACTCGGAACGTCCGTTTTCCTGAACTCTGGCTTGAAGTAAATCCATCTGCACGTGTAATGATTTCTTGGCCATTTTGAGTAACTAATCCCATGTGGATTATCACAGATTTGACAGGGTGGCTTGTGTCTAGACTTAGCATTTCTGATGGTAAGACAGGTTTCTCCCTGAAAGCTGAATGTAAAGACTTTTGTAGGCCTTTGCCAGTGATACTGCTTATTGCGGCTTAAACAATGCGACCCTGGTTTTTGATCAGTTTTGCTGTACAGGACAATCTTTTTTGTTGGACAAAGAAACACCTGTGGGCGACTCTAGAACTCCCAGCACTGACAGTGGCTAACAATAGGAATAACAAAATGTGTCCGCTCTACGCTTTAGGCTGGAATAGTTATTAATATTGCAAAGAAGGAAGAATGCTTGATTTCATTGCACAATGTGGTGCATGTCTGCAGTTGACTTTGCTTTCTCTCTTGGGGTTTCTGCTGACCTCTGGTGTAAGTCCCCCACATCTGCCCTTGTTCTTAGGAACAGTAAGGTCCTCTAATGCACATTTGTATCTTAAAATCAATTTGTGTTGCTATACAAAGGAAAGTGATGGGAGAAGAATGAGGAGGAATGCAAACTAGGAGAGAATTTTGGTGAGGGTTTTTTTTTTCTTGGATGTGAGAAATGATGAAGAGGACTTCTGAAGATAGCTGAATATGTTATGTAGATGAAAGTGAAAAGAATATAAGGGGGATGGAAGTTAAAAGAAAGGAAAGCAGATAAGTGAGGTTCTGTGGTTCTGATGAATTAGGGTACATGGTGTTAACGGTGAGACTGCACTGTGTTGTGTTCTGGACATGTGCTTGGGGTAACAACTAGTGATCGTGGCTTGTGCTGAACTGCACGTGCTCCAAATGCTTTGCTGTACCTCTGTTGCTCTGGACTTGAAGACTGCAGCTAATTGTTTCTGTGGATGAACTGTGCATGCAACATGAGTTATTTTAAGTTTACATTGTTCTGCTTGCATATATGTGTCAAGGAGAAAGCAGTCTTTTTTAAAAAAAAAATTAAAAAATTGTGGTATGTTGATGTACGCACTTGCTGATGGCGCAGATAGCCCCAAATGTTATTACGACTGGACACAAAGGACAAAGTTGTTTTTAAAAGGTGTTTCAGAGCGTTGATGTGACTTCGGTAGGACAGACTCCTGCAGTGCCTCCATGGTGGAACACGAGGAATAAGAGATGTTTGGCTTTTTAACTTGTTTGTGCCTGAGAGTCTTTGGTCCAGGAGAAGGTCATTCTGGGTTTCCCTGCGGATGTTACACTATGGCCTCTGTACTTCTATCAGCAGGCCTGGTTTTACTCTGTCAGATAACTTAGGAGTTGGTTCATGTGCACGTAATGGTATGAAATTTTCATCTCTTACTGTTAAATGACTTTACCTATGACCTTTGTTCACTAAAACCCCACTGCCTTACATTTCTGATTGTCCTACTGAATAAAAATGGTAAGTAATGGTGACACTTGTGATAGTTTCTATGCTGACTAGTGCACAGAGGATATTGAATTCTGTACCAATAGTTACATTCTCATTTCTCTGCATTCTTTGCAATATGAAGTTGTTTCAGGACTCTTAAACCATCTCACAGTTCTGTAGGCATGTATAAACCACTCTTTGAAATTTGCTAATTGCCTTAAAGACTAACTTCTAAGTAATCTTGGACATCCTGGTTGGTTAATACTGGTCAATAATGTCTGCTAAAAAACCAGCTCTTTTGTACCCTGTTTTGGATCCAGGTAGTAGACTTGTCTGTATCTAATAAATGAAATGTCTGAATTCTGTGAAAAAATAATACCATGGACTTTCACTCATGATGTTCCTTTTGTTCTGTATCACCCTGTGATACTGGATGTTCTTTGATCAGAGTTATCCTATTTGTAGTTTGCTTTGTAGCGTATGCCTCTTCAATTATCTCAGTTGCCTTGATATTTCCCCTTTTCAGCACTTGAAATTTTTGGTTGCTGTTTCTGTTTGTCTTGAGAGGAGAAAGGCATAAATGTAAGCAGCACCTGGAGAAGGAAAAGGCAAAATCTCTTTAGGAAGTTAGAAAATTATGAAAGTAAAATTTCTTATTGAAAGACTAACATGGGAAGTAATAGATATATATTTTTAAAACAGAATATCAGATATGGCTCTTGTATGGTCATTCTGTAGATTGTCATGATTTTTTTGGTGAGCCAACTTCTGTAAACAATAACTTTCTTTTACAGTAGCTGCTGCTGTATTATTGCTTAATCCTACTTATTTGTGGCAGGTGCTCTTGAGCAGGAAGCTTGGGGTTTTATTTTTTCATGTTTTATGGTAAGTGTGCCTCCAGTCTAGTTACCTGAAAGGGAATGAGTAGCTTAAACACCCTTTTCTGCCTTGTTAATGACTAGAAAAGGTAATTGTGGTAAGTCATCAGAGAGGAAAAGCTTTTCTGAAGAAAGGAAAACAAAGTGTAAGTTGGATGCTGTGGTGCTAGTTTTTGCATGACTAGTTTTGTGAACTTCTTCAGCACATCCAGAGTTCCTTCTGCAGAAGCGAGACCATCTGACACTTTAGTTATTTCAGATGTAGCCTTTATGAACCACCCTTTAGTAAGGGTTTGCTTCGGAAAAGCAAACCTAGCAAAAAACAGTGCAGAAGGTAATCTTTGAATAGATCTTTCCATCGTGCGAAGCCCTAAATTCTATCATTATTTGTTAAATTAAAATTCAATACACTGGCCTTGGTTACTGACTTCTAAAATGAACGAGTTGTCATGTCACTCATCTCTTTCTTAAAAATCACAGCCATACCTCAAGCAGAATCAAGATGTGCACAGTAGAACTTTAAACTGCATGCGATCGTTACAGAGTTTCATAGGTCTTATTCAGGTCCTTATCTTCTGTTCTGTTTTGTGGTAGTGTGACAGAGTTGATCTACATATGAAGACTGAGGTTAACGAGGCTATGTGGTAGTGCATTATGGCGATGTAAACAAAGTACGAAGATAATAAAATTCTTAGTTACCAAAGTTTTGAAGATCTATCACCCTGAAGTGAGGGAAGGCAACCTGAGCATCTGTTAATTCGAGAGAGAGAACAATACTATAGGACACCGTTAGAATTGCTGTGTCTCACTGAACCGATAGCAAGTTGGAGACTGTGGTGCTGCAGTGGTCAACGCATGTGCTGGTACATGAGTGGAAAAATCATATTGCCCAAATTACAAGCAGTTAAACTTTATGCTTCTTCTCTTCTCGCTGCATGGGGGATGCTGCACCGTGTACTGTGGTACTTATTGCAGGATAGAGAAAGATGTGTAGGTGTGCAAGGAAGGGGCAGAGACAATGAGTTTGAGCGTAACTCTGGTCTTGCAAAGGTAACAGTACCGTACTGTCACTGAAAGTCAGCCCCTTACGCATTGGGGGGTGCATTGCTCAGATGTATGAATTCACCCTGTACAAGACTTTAAAGCAATTGGATAACGCTAAATTGCTTCTTAAGTCATCTGCAGAAACTGACACAGATAGCAAATCTTTTATGCTTCAGGCATATGGAAGTGGTTTGTGATGCAAACATACTATCTAAAGTGGAAGTACAGCGTGGCTTTTGTGAACTCTCCTGTGTACCTTGATTACATCTCTTACTGAATGCTGCAAATGCCAGAAGCTTTACATGGCTTCAAAAACTAGGTACAGAGAGCCTGATGAAAGAAAAATCCATTAAGGCTGTAGAGAAAGTGCCTTGTATCAGACTGCTGGGAATTGGGAGCAGATGTTTCCTACTGCCCTAAACATCTCTTGTTTCCTTTTTTGCACATGCTAGGGCAATATTGGGTTAGGTGGACCTTGGGATTTGAGGCGTTTTGGCTGCTGTCAGGATCCATCTGTATTTTGCTATCTCTTTCATATTTCAGTAGGACAGTTCCATATTTTTCTGCCTACCCTTAATTCTGCTTACGAGATTCAGCTCAGGACCTTGTCTCTGCAGATGTGTCCTGAATCCTTCCAGGAAAGGACTGTACTGTTCTTTAAGTTTGGAGACAGCTGAGAAGAGAACAGCATGAGGAGAGCACTACAAAACTTTTTCAGTGTCAGGATTCATCTTTGCTATGAATGAGGAACACGTGCTTACTTTCACTGGTCAGAGTTGTATGAATGCAGTTACACCAGGCAGGTATAGGGCAGAATGAGTGTGTTGCATTTCCAGTTTAGCCAGAAGACCCACAGAAGGGAGGAAACTCATGGGTCAGTAAAGGAGGGCTAAATTAGAGGTTAGCATATTCAAGTGTCTAGACAGCAAGTACAGACATACTGCAAAAGTCAGTCTGTCAGGGAGTGGAGAGTCTAGATTAAAAAGCCATTTCAAAGGCATGTTGCCTGGATGGGGTAATCATGTGCTTAGGCTTTTTCAGTACATAAGCATAAGCTGAGTGAGGGAAGAGATCAAAAAAGGACAGAAAGATTGACACAGGTTCTGTAGCAGCTTAGACTGGAATGGAACTTGATAAATTAAAAATAGCTGGCTGTTCACACTTGTTTCCCAGAAATGGCCACAGCCACATTTGTTTTTACCATCCATTCGGTAATATTTGAATGCCTTACAGAAATGTGACGTCCATCCTGCTGCATTGTTATACAGTACCAGGCTGAGTTCATTCTTGCTCTCAGGCATGTAAACTGGTCATCAGGAAGTCAAGTTTTAGTCTAGTAAGAGGTGAAATACCCAGAGCTCACTTAATCTGTTAGGTTGGATACTTTTAGAGAAGTGTTGAGAGACATTCCACTGCAGGATGCTGGGCAGATCAGCAGAAGCAGAGAGGCTGACTCAAATCCTAGTCTAACTGCCCTGTTGCATCTCATCTGCTTCCTTACAGAGCCAGAGGGCTTGCTGTCAGCTGACTGGCTCAGCTGTGTTTTTATGCCCTTTAGGCACAGTGTTTCACCCAAGTGTCCTGTTATGCATAATGACAGTTCAGGGGAAGCTCCTGGAATCTACCCACGTGCAGTGTTTGGGGTCTGCAGCACCTCTGAGGTTCCTTTTCATCCGTCCCAAGAATGTGTTGTACTCTGTTACCTTTGTCTATTAAGCTCTTTCTCTTTTGTTGTGCTTTCATAGGTAGATGTCTTTGTGGTGAAGCTAAATGAACGATAGGATGCATTCATGGAGTATTTTGCAGGTAGAGGTGTCTGGTGACTGTTCCTCAAAACAACTGGGAGATACTTGAATAGTGGCACAGCGCTCAGCTTGGGCTGTTATACCCTACCTTGTATGTTGGCTTCGATAAACGGCCAGAGTGAGCTTGCATTTGAAAACTGCAAAACGCTCTGTGTGTGTTTCTTAGCCCTGCCAGGGAAGGGTTTATGTCTCTCTGCTCCAAGAGATCTCCGCTGGTTTGCCCATTACAAGGAGCATATCTGATGCAGGGGCCTCTGAACTGGCCCTTGCATGAGGTGAACTTTATTAATTAATCTGTCAATGTCACTAAGGTAAGGGACATAAATTAGATCTGGTAAGCTGTCTGTGGAAGTCCTGGGTGATCTGGTGCACTGCAGCATGTGCTGCTGAGGCCCTGTGTCCACTGAATTGATGGCCAGGCACACCCCATTGCATTGCCCAGCGTGAGATGCGTGGGTTGCTGTGGCCAGACCCTCATTTAAGGCCAAACAGGAACTCTTGAAAAATAACTAAATATTGTCATCACCTATAGCTGTTGGGTATTTTGTATTGGCAAGCCTAGAAGTCATTAGTCTTTTACAGTCATAATTGGGCAGTAGACTTCTCTGAGATCGGAAAGAATAGTAGCAGTCAGCTCTTTGTTTTCTTTGTGCCTTTTCCAGTGGCTTGTTCTATCCTTTTTACCTATTAAAGACAATTCCATAGTCTGTGCTTTTGATAAAGTTGTTAAATGGAGTATCATCAGAAGGTGTGGCTTATGATCTGTACAAACTAGTGCAAATCTATCAGCCTAGAAGTATAGCATGCCATTAAAAACATAACCCAGGGAAGCTTGGGATGCATTATGTATCAGGTGGGTATTTGTGAGACCTCTGAAAGCAGAGGAAGATTTCACAGATTTTACAAGATCTGAAGGTGGAATAGTGTGTGGCTTTGGTGAGCCAGGGAGGTAAGAAGCAGGTTGAGCAGGAAGGACAGTGGGGGTAAAGCTCAGCTGGTTCTCATTCTGAACCAGTAATTTTAGTTGAAAAGCTATATATATAGAAATGGTATTTGGAAACAGTTCTAAGTGCATCATTGTAGAAATTAATAGTTCAGTAACTTGATTCCCAAATAGTGTAAAGTTAATTTTATTCATATTTCAGAGTCTGCCTATATAGGGCATGTGGAAGGGGACGTAAGTCAGCCAAGCACTTATATTTTGAGATGCGTGCTTGTATTTGCACTACTAATCCCTTGCTACAGACAACCCCAACAAAGTGGATTATTTGTCATGTCAAAATCTGACATATGTTTTTAATATCTATTTATGAAAGACATCTTTAATTCCAGAGCCTAGCACTTGCTTACCTGAGTGCATCTTTGTGCCTCCTAATAAAGCACCTGTTCTCTGAGAAGCTGAGCACTACAGGACCTAATGATTTTGCTGGAAAAAAGAGTAAACTACATCTCTGAATTTCAGCTCTTACTTATGTCTACACATGGAATTAAATAGCTGATATTTTAAAATATTTATTTAGAAGTATTCTTAAATGGTGGTGTCTATATATGTGATCTCAATAACCTTTGTGAGGTTTAGAGAAAAAACCTCACAGGTTTGAGGTGT